TATATATATATATATATTTGTATCTCGTTAATTCTCCTTATCATTATTAATGTTGTTTGTATTATTATTATTATTATTATTATTATTATTGTTTTTGACCTGTCCTTATTTAAGCATATGTAGTCTAATAATTTGTATCATGATTATTGATGTTTATAAAAGAAAATGTTGCAATTGAAACGAGTAAGCTTCGTTTATTTTAAGTTATATTTGAAAGAGAGGAACGGCAATAGCGGTTTAATCGTTTCGAATCAGTAGGTCAGAAGAGTGGAGGAAAAAGAAAAAAAATAAAAAGATATCGCACTGTACAGGTAAACCATCAACCGTTGCGTGACGACGGATTTCGTGGAAACTGTCCGCGTTTTGTATGACACGCGCGTCGCCGAGCACAAATCGTTTCGCACGCTTCCAACCGGTAGAAGCAATCACACCGTTCTGTCCCGATGATCAACCGCGCTCTTTGTAACGCTTACTTACAATCAACATGGCCAGATCGATATTTTTCTTTTTTCTTTTTTTTTTTTTCAATTAATTTCATATTATTTTTTCGTTTTCACAGTCCATATCGACCATCGACGATTATACGCGAGCGATTATCGTTGATCACTTCGTTCTACGTGTGACACAGATGCATTTCTGTCGTGGCTATTCGTGATATTTAATACCGATATTTTTACGTGCTTCGATGGCTTACTAGGCAAGTGGGTCACTCATTGTATTCGTTACGACCAGTTGTTCGAATAATCGCCTCTAGTACACGTGGATGTAGTTGACGAATTTATTGTAAAGAAGCCTAGCGTGTCGAAAAGCTTCTGATCAGATATGGGATAGTCTGACAGAATATCTCGCAAACATTTTGTTGCGATGTGCGACGAGGTGTGCACCGGTAGATTAATTTTATCCGGGTATATCTTGGAACCGGTGGATAGATTATGACGCAGCTCCTACCATTGTTCAGAAAATTGACAACTAGTCTATATAACAAAAACATCTATTAGACTCGTATACGAGTCGGGACATTAGCCGGGTGTCAGGGAACACCGACGCATCCTCCATACATAAACGTCGGCTGGCGTTAAAAATCGCTCAATAGAGGACGAGACAGCAAGTAGAATACAAGTCATGCTGCGACTCTTTGCGCTAGCTTGCACTGCCACGATCTTCCTAATGATTTCGAATGTGATATCGTTGGACGAATTGCACCACGAAGGGATGGTGAGGAAGGTGGACAGTTCGTTTCATAGGGATTCGTCTTCTCTATTCCTGTTTCATCTACTTAAGCTAAAGAAGAAGATTGAAAAGATAGAGCAGGTGCCAACCACACCGCCAACTACGGATTGCATTTGCGTACCTTATTATCTCTGTAATGCTAATCGTACTATAATTACGGACGGCATTGGGATGATAGATATTCGGTGAGTTCTTTTATTCCTCGTTGAGGAGAAATTGCTTCGTTTGAACGACTTATCGTGTCTGGTTTTCAATCAGGTATCGAAGATGCACTGGGGATTTAGAAGTATGTTGTCGTCTACCAAATGTAACAACCACCACCACCGCAAAGCCTACAACTATGCGACCCACTACCAAGCCGACGACTACCACCAAGGCGACAACTACCACCAAGGCTCCGACCACAACCTCCACTCTTCCACCGGTGATTTTTCCAACTACACAGCCCCAAGTTGTTCCAGTTTGCGTTTGCGTGCTTGCGTTTCAATGTGATCCAAACGGGATCATTGGCACATCCGGAGAAGGAGTGATAAATCCTCGTTTGCAGTATGTTCATTGCCCCAGCAGCACCATGGTCTGCTGCAGACCAACTAGCGTGATCCAGTACCCTTACAATCCTCCGGTTCCTTCCTCGCAAGTTTGTGTTTTATGTGGAAGCATGATCCAGTGCAACAACGGGATTGTGATTCCTGTGAATGTCGGAATCGTGAATCCCTTGGTGAATTACGGCCAACAAACGTGCCCTATACCCACCTCCTGCTGTCAAGGAATAAACCCAACGTACGCAAACGGAATTCCAGTGGTGGTCGGACCGATCAGAAATTCTGGAACACCTCAGGCCTGCTATTGCATGAGGAGCTGGTTATGCTCGCCAGGAAACTCTGTTAGCCCAGATGGGGCAGGTGTCATCGATCCAAGGTTTTCCTTGTGTGGAACTACAAACGAAGTTTGTTGTCGAGCCACTACAACAAGTATAGCAAGAAGTAACGATTTGCAAGGCTTAGGAGAGAGTATAGTGAGCGGAGAGGCTACCTTCTCGCAGTCTGGTTGTGGTACACAGAATAAAACGTATGCGACAGGTAGGTAGTAAGTCGCAAATGGTCGTTTAGACTTCTCGACTTTGATCACTGGAATCAGCTGTTATTTTCTCTTCGCAGCTAAACCTTATCCCGCAGGGACAGGAAAAACGTATTTCGCCGAGTTCCCATGGATGGTGGCTCTGTTAACAAAACAAGCGGATGGCAAATATCTCTTTCAATGTGGAGGATCTATGATTACTAATAATGCTGTTCTTACAGCTGCGCATTGCGTTACCAAGTAAGTAGACTATGTAGAAATAGAGTAATGAATTTATCTATTGCATATTAAAGTATGCTATGAGAAAATGAAAACATTCGTGTTAGTCTAGGAAACGATAGACCGATAGCACGTTTTGGTCAATGGGATTTGGCAACCCAGCCTGACGGCCAACCAGTGCCTTTTCAAGACGCGGACATAAAAGCTATAGTGACCCATCCTCTCTTTTACAGTGATGCTCTGTTTAATGACATAGCAGTGATCATTTTAAATAAACCAGTAAAACAAAGTGTAAATGTTGTCCCTGTTTGTATACCGCAGCAGGGATTGATCTTTCCTACTGGTACTGGATGCATCGGTACCGGTTGGGGAAAGAACTCGTTTGGTAACATCATTGTGATACTTGTATCTTTTCACTGTAGTTAACCTTAACATCACCTTTCTTATCAAACTTTTTATCATATTACTTGCAGACGGGACATATCAAACTGAGCTACGGAAAGTGGAACTCCCTATCGTGGATAGAACTGATTGTCAAAATCGACTCCGAACCACGAGATTAGGACCTTATTTTCAATTACATAGCTCATTCATATGTGCAGGCGGTGAAGCAAATAAGGATACGTGTCATGGAGATGGCGGTGGACCGTTGGTATGCCCCTCAGTTACAGGACAATATTTTCAGGTATCGAATTACTTTAAACAGCATCGTGTACTAGAGATGTCTGTAAAATAAAAATATAGAAGAAATATTAACGGATTAATTTTTTCTTAGGTTGGTATAATATCTTGGGGCATCGGTTGCGGATCATCGAATATTCCTGC